GATCGAAGAATAGGCCGTGAAACGACGTGCATCCTTGGCTTGCCACCAATCAATGCACGAACAGCCTTAAGCCCGTTGGCATTGGGGCCGATCAAGATTCGTTAATGGCAGGTTGAATTGTCAAGATAAATATCGAACGCAGGGGATCGCGCATTCTCGGATTATGAAACTCTATCTCGCCAAAAGATGTGCACAAATAAGGTAAATCCGGGGCTATGGGGTCATATGGCGTACAGCACTACGACTACAGCACCGCTTGATGACGGCACTGGCCTCAAAAGAGGTATTTCAGTCAGTTCGCGCGCTTTGAAGACAAGAGCACATTTTCATTCAAATCATTTTCTTTAATCCATATATCTGTCAAGATGATTACGTCCCCTGGGTGCCGTGCCGCCTTACTCACAGCGCTGTTTCTCACGCAACCCTTACTCTCAACATGCCGCATACCAGACGAGGATATCTCTACCGCCGCCGTCCCAACAACAATTCAACTCCGTCCAAACGACATCATCAAGTCCACCCTCCCACCATACGGCTCTGGTGGTCGCGGCCGCACCGGTAGCACAAGCAGCACCTCCTTCAATGAACTCCAGCTCAACTTATGCAATTCCGGTTTTGCAGGCTGCTACGCCGGCGGGGACTCTATCCCCGAAGGTGGCGAGCTCATCTACGCCACAGGCCCCAATGTCGTGACGGTCAACGAGATATGCTCGAATGACGTCGCAGAGCTGCAGAGTTATCTGAGCGAGGCGTGGCCGACAGACTATACGTATTCGGCATTCATGCCGGCGATTGATAAGCGTACGGCTGCGCCATATAAGTGCAAGGACGGGTTTCAGTATGGGAGTGCGGTTTTGGGCCGTGTCGCAGCTTCGAAATGGACGACGTTCGATGCGTATGGAGGGAAATTCATCGCCCAGGATTCGTCGAATGAGGAACGCATCTTTGTGTGTGCGTACGCGCGAGGGGATCATTTTACGTGCACGACGCATCTTTCGTCGTCGTCGGAACCGTTGGCTTTGTCGCAGTGCAAGGCACTCATGTTCGATGCCGTACCGTATCTCAAGGGTGTTGCTGGTGCGGCTGGGAAGACTGTTGTTGGGGGTGATTTCAATCTCGAGTATGATACCAGCGATGCGGAAAATGTGCAGAAATGCGTGCCGCCGGGTTGGACGAGAAAGGGTGATGGCGATGTTCAGCATGTCATCTACACTAATGACCTTGTGTTTTCGAAATCGAAGGCTTGGGGTTTGAGTTATACAGATCATGATGGCTGGGAGGTGAGGTTGACTGGGTAATTGCAAGTCTAGGGGAGCAATGACATGGACATCGCAGTAGTTCATCTAGGTGTTTTGCTCATCCTTGCGAATATCGAAGGTGTTGATCATCTCTTGTATCCCTACTTACTATTTAGGATCAGTCTAGTGCTCGTCAAGACCTCCTGACTACCACACATGTCTCTCCGTCTTTTTGATAACAGCCATCAGAGATGTAATGACGGTATCAACAACATCCATTTCCGGTGTTATAAGGAAGTGTAACCTCCCCGTCTTCGTAGCACTTCTTTGCGCTGACGACATCATAAGCGCCGCTACCGTCTTCCCAGCCCCATCTAGAATCTCCCAATTACCCGACGTCTGGCTACTTCCTGAGTCAACTAAGCCGGCAGACTTGAAATGCAACGGTCCAACAAAGGACGCTGCCACACCCGCAACAGAAGTGATAGTTGCCTGCCACCCCTTATCTGCAGCCGCAGCAGGAGAAATAAGCATATATTTTCCGCCACCGACAGGATTGCTGGGACTAAGCATTTCGACCTCACTGATGCCGTAGCCGGCGTGCATGTTCCCCGTCGCGATAGGAGGACCCGCTTTGCTCCAACGGCGGACGAGGATGCTACTGTTTGAGAAATCGATGAAGTATCCAGCCTCTACGGCTGAGGGCTGGATTGAGAATTGCGGGCGTACGGTAGCGGAAGTTAAGCTGAAGAGGCTCTGTGTGATGTGTACTTGGAATGTTGCCGTTATCTCATTAGGTCCAGTCAACCATTGGAGGTCGTGAGGTGATGTATATGACGCGCTACTGGGACTGTATGTTCGAGAGCGGACTGGAGATAATCGACTAGGCTTGCGGTGGAATTCGTGTTTCGAAAGTGCTGGATGATATGATTGAGGGCATTGAAGGGGCGGAACGGAATGGCGGAACCTATCGTCGGAGTTTAGGCGGGCGGAAAGTGATGTAGCTGATATTGTTCCAACCATATTTTCTCTGAGCTCTGTTCTTCTCTTAGCTTAATCCGAGTGTATCTGCGAGATATGTGTATTGTCTGATCGAGAGCTTAACTGAATACGGAATACCTGTTGATAGCAGTAGAAAGACGCACTTTTGTATCTTGAAATCACTATACTTTACTCTTACCGAGCCGTAGGACCGTCGATACACTATATACTCAACTGTGGCCTTTTATACTCACTCTGTTACACTACCCTTGCATATTCACTGTAGGCTTGCATATGTCTCGGGAGAATTGTGAAATATATTTGACACATCTCCTTTAGGAGGCACACATAACCATCCACAGACCTTGTGGTTGGGTCGATCTTTACCCACTGTTACTACGCTTACCCGGTATTTTTTTTTTGACCTCGTGGGTAATATATCCTATAATATAGAGATCTACAGCGGGGTAGCATGAATGTACAAATCCCGGTGGTATTCTGTAAGCACGCAACCCTTAAACTATATAGAAAAAACTCTAAGCGGTGGAGCTACACTCACTCTATATCTAGCTGAGCTTCATCTGACCAACCTGTTACTGTATTATTCCGGTTTCCCGTCCTTTGATATTGTAATCAAATCACCCGTTTAGTGATGATACTGATCATGTGTATTTCAAAGATCCAGCAGGAAGAGTTGTGAAAGAATTAAGGACTAGATAAGAAATTTCTAATCCCAGAAATACGGACGAAGGTACATCCTAGTAATTGAAACCTGCTTCTGCATCATTTTCTATGGCTGTCAGTCCTACAGGATAATGAACCGGGCTTGTTTGTAAATGCTGGACTCGCTTCTACATTGGATGGGATCCCAATACTTGAGTTGTAAAGTACCTAATGCTGGTTGCTTATATATAGGATAACTAGGTGTAATGTTCTAGGTGTCTGCAAAAGCGGAGTTTGCAGACGCTCAGGATAGGTGATTAGAAAGGGAGGGCTAAATTGCCTAATAGCAGTTCTCGAAGGAGAACTTAGGCCCCCTTACTAAATTCTCGCTCGTGAAGATTTTTGCTCGGGTATAGGTGTTTTGAGGTGGTTGTTCTGTACCGCTTCCTTCAGATTTTCCAGTACGAGCAACTCCATGTCCCGCTATGAACTGTTAGCCACTAGAGGGACACATTCCGCGAGAAACCTTACCTGTGTCTCTAAAGTGGCAGTGCCGATATGCGGTAAGAGGACTACATTTTGATTCTTAACAAGTTCCGGATGTATTTTTGGCTCTTCTTCGTACACATCCAGACCGGCACTCCAAACTTTACCGCTTTTTAGCGCATCTACTAAGGCATTCTCGTGGATTAGAGGCCCTCTGGCCGTATTGATAACAATCACGCCGTCCTTCATCTTGTCGAACTGAGGTTTCGAAATTATATGCTTCGTCGAGCTGTTAAGCGATAGGTTGAGACTAAGCACGTCGGATGTCTCCAAGAGCTCGTCAAAAGACACGTATTTGGCACCGCATTCTTTGTCTGAGGGCAATTGATGCCGATTGTGGTACTGAAGTCTCATGCCAAAGGCTTTTGCACGAAGGGCGACTGCTGTGCCAATGCCTCCCATTCCAAGGATCCCAATGGTTTGTTTCTTAGGGTCATGGCCTAGACCGAAATTTCTCCCTCTCCACTCACCTAAGATACATTAACAGAGCTCTTACTAGACCAAAGATAAGTGATTTACCTTGTCGTAATGCATTGAATGGTATTGTAACCCTTCGAAGTGCACCCAACATAAGGAAGATAGCGACATCAGCGGTTGCTTCGTTTACTGCGATAGGGGTATTTGCAATACGAATTCCTGAAGTTCCATCAATGACACTAAATTTTGAGTTGTTCAGGGGCTTCAAACCTCGGTCACTGCAGGCCGGAACGTTTATATTGTCATATCCAGCACCATTATGGCAGATGAATTTCAAACTTGCCGGCAATGTTCGCACGAGTTCCTCGTCAAATGGACCGGTTACCTACTTCCCATGAACAACTTGTGTCGATAGGTTATGAAGATGGCAGAATTACCCACGCTCGTAGATTCATTGCTTCGATATATCACGAAGACATCGTCAAAATCACCTTTGCGACATTTCGAGATAAAATCGTCCCGGGATCCTTCGGGATAAACCTGATCAAGATAAATTAGGAGAATGGGGACGACAGCTACTACGGTAACGTACCTTAAGGTTCAGGAGTGAGCTACATGCTTCCCATTCTTCTTTAGCATGAGTGATTCCTCCAATAAGGAGCGCTGATCTATCCTGAGGCATATTCGAGCGCCAAAAAAGAAGTAGATTGTCCTTAATTTTATATTTCGAATCTCAGTAGATCGAAGGACGAGATGTCCTCTTCAGGTCCAGAGTGATATATAAGTGATGTCGGCTATCGCGCTAGGGATCATACTCGGCCGCGGGCTAGTTCGACTTTTTGTACGAAGACCTATATAAGCTACCATTAACTCATTTATGTAATAAACTTCGAAGGAAAGTCAAGTGATGCATCGCGGTCGATCGGCAACTGAAGTATAAAGTTTGACGTCTTTGAAACGTAGAGGAGGTAACAGTATAGGTGTTTGATGATGGCTCCCCACTTTCGGCTTTTGAACGGAACCCCTGTTTGAGACCAGAATCCACTGAAAAAATTACCATTCCAATGTTGCTCTTGATAACCAAAATATCGGCATAATAACTTAGCCAAAAGATTGCGTGCTTGGGACCAAAAAGGAACGGACAGCAAAAGTATTTGTCCCAACAGAGAATCGAACTCTGGACCCCGGGATATCCCAATCTGAGATTGAGTCATAAATTAGTATTTTATGAGACCCATGTCATAACCAACTAGACCATTGAGACATGCCATGGAGATTGCAAAATATGGTATAAGAGAAGAGTAATTCCGGACGAAAGGGGAATAAGAGACGTGGTAGTGTAGGCGAACGTGCCATGGTGCGTTTTTGCCAGCCTTGACATCGGGCCGATGCCAGCAGTTCTCGATAAACTCCGCTATTTCCCCGAACAACTACATGCACTATTATAAAGGTCCGTTGTCTCTTTGTGCCCCATCTACCTTACCGTAGGTCCCTATGTATATCAATGCAGCCCCTTCAGATTGGTCGGCCGCAAGCCGCCTTCCCTCTCCCACAAAGTTGAAGTTCAGAAATCTGTTACTCAGTGTGCAGTTTTCCTGTTTTTCAATAGTTAATAATCGTATCAATATCTCTTTTCTACCACTACTGAGTCGCTATACAGTTCGTCCTATGGTCATACTTTCAACTCGTCATAGAAAGATCGAGTCGTCTACCTATTGGGGTTATTTGAACGCTTATAGAATGCTCACTCCCTTCTACTTATCTCGCCAATTGCAGACAATACCGACACCATCCATTATGGGTTTGATGATCTGACGGGCATAGTTAAGGACTCCATAACACTACTACATAGAATGTATTAAATTATCCTTTTGGGCCCGATCCCCAAGTTATCAGCTATGAGAATTTAGTCTTCCTGCTTCATTATCCCATATCCGATTGTATCCCAGAACTGTTTCCTTAGTTGGCACTATCTAGCCTCTCCATTTACAAGTAGCATCTTCCCTCACTGTACTGACTTCATTTTGAGAAGAGTCTCACCCACTGTCCCCAGAGCATTCCGCGTCAACATGTTCCGCCCATCCGCCGCTTGGAGCGTTAGAGTCATATGGACCGTACGAAGTCAATACGTAGTGCGCGACTAAAAATTTTGTGAAAGCACTGTAAAAGCACTTTTGGAACCGAGTATGGCACCGAATATGGAATCAAATATGGAAACAAATATGTGCAACGAAAAGGGACACCTATCCCTTTACTTAGCCCGTTCCACTCCGCTGTAAACTCCACTTCAGAGCTCCATTAGGAGAGCGGCTAGGGGTAGAGAAAAAAAGGACAGGCATCCTTATAAGTAAGGCACGTCCGTCTGCACCGCCACGTCTCTTATTTCCCTTTCGTCCGGAATCATCTGTCTCTTATACCATGCTCCACAACCTCCATGGCATGTCTCGATGGTCTAGTTGGTTATGACATGCGGGTCCTCAAAATAGGATCTACTGAAAAGGGGTAGGTATGCTAAACGTTAAAAGTGACTACAAGAGCTCTCCCCCACAACTATTTCGGTTCAGGGGTTGATCCCCTGAGTGCCAGACAAATTCGATCGACTATCCGACCATGGAGCGGCCAAAACGATGCTTCCCGGCGAAATGCGATATCATCTAGAGGTGTTTTATTCCCGCGCTGATTAGCTATCACATCGTACGTCCCACGCAAATTTGAATATTCGTTTGTTCTGGCGATATAGTCCCATAATTATACATTATCTGATTCTATCCGCTTGGTTACCATATCATTCCATCATGAGATACAAGCCATATATCATAAGATACACACCATATATCGTAGAATACACGCCAACTATCATAAGATAGAGATCATTTTATCGTAAGATATACACCCCTTATTCGTAAGATATAAACGTAACGCACTATATATCATAAGATACATTCCATTTAATTGTAAGATCTTTATCGGCTAATTTACTTATATACGCCTAATTTCTTAGTTTATCCACTTTATATCTTTGGGCCGCATATTCTATTATATGTAACTTCAAATCCTATCACGTACACTCTCCCACTATAACCACCCCTATGTCTAGTCATAGAGTGACATGGATTGTGTATCCTAAGGCGCGAGCATCACTCCCATCTCCTATACCCTTTACACCCCGCCAGGATCATTAGTGCTATCAGTGACACAGTGCAGTAAAGAAGAGACATATACGACACCATAATAAAAAGGGTTCCAAGGCCCTTATTCCCATTCCACGATGTCTATGTATCTACAGTAGTATCCATTAGATAAATCCCTATCTCCATCCCCATCAGCTATCCCTAAATATTCATACACGATCGATCCTGCAGAAGAACTCCCTAGACGGCGCAAGGACCCGTATTCCCGTTCCTCCTTCAGAAAAGGTAAAATTGCTCATCCCACCATTCGTTACTAGGTGACGCCCATGTCCTGGTCGTCTCAAATAATAAAAATGCCAAGCGCCAGACAAACGCCGTCCAAAATCGATACCACCAGAGGGACCGAGTAAAACTATAGGGATAGAGATTCAGCAGAGACCAATCTCACCTCAGACATATGAAGGCGTACGTCCACCGCAATCCGGGATCTTGATGCCCGGTTTCAACTTCCTGTTGACGTCCATGAGACCCCATTTATCTTCCCATTCCTTGCCTTCGTCTTCCTCGTTGAAGCGAATCTTCCACGGCTCGTCGAAAGCCTCGAACCTGTAAGCAAGGATTAGTTCTCGACGATCAATGTAACAGTAGGAGGTAGTGTAAAGAAAGAAACTTACCAAAAATACATGGTCTCATTATCCATACTCTGACAGACCCAATTCTCCATAAATGTGTTCATCTCCTCAATCCCGGCTACACTCCCTTCCGTCCTCGTCGTACAATCCCTGGCACCACAACTATTACCTCCATCGCTCGGCCAGCCGACCTCGGAAATCATATTCTTCTTGCTCGTTCCCTGAGTCAATGGGATATCATTGTTGTTCCAGAAATCCCACGTCCATCCTGCGGCCTCCTCAGCGGTGACACCCGCAAAGAAAGGATGGATGTTGGCCATGACGACGTCCACATCGTCGACGAGGAAGGGTTCGTTGCGCCAGTTGTCTCCGAGATCTGACGTTGCAAGGGGGAGATCAATGTTTTTACGTGCTAGTTGCTTTTTGGTATCACTGAGCACCCTTCCGAGCTGGGTGGCGGTAAGATCTTCGCGGAAGAGAACTTCGTTGCCGATGACGATGCCTGCGAACGGGTCCTCACCTCTGTCATCTAAGATTGTCCACATGTGTTCGACCTGTCTGTCATTGGTAGTATCGTTGTCCCCAAGCCAGACTCCCAGCCAGACCTTCATATCTGTGAGTTCGAGCCGTTCAATGGCGTGGAGGACCATTTCGGTCTGATTACAATCCGTACCGTATAGGCGGACTCGGTTCGTGAGCTGGGACAGCACGGCCATGTCCCGGGTAACGTTGTTTTGGGAGGGAGGAAAATGGAGACATTCGGGATACTGGGTATTGATCGGGGTGTAATCCATTCCTGGAAACACCTTATGTAAATCCCTGTTGTTCATAAGCCGTTTGATCTCCGCAGAGTTGAGACCAAGATCTCCTCTTCCGTCATCTTCTTCTGCGGATTCCCCATAATTAGTAGAGGGACCAGAATCATCGCCTTTATTTCTGCTGCCGAGAACACCACCAATGACACCTCCGACAATGGCTCCGACAATGATGATAACGATAATGGTACCGACTATCCATCTTAGCCGCTTGCTGCCACTGTTTTGCTTTGAAAGCCACTCGCTCTTCTCAGGTTCGTGGTCGATACCGAGATTTGTCGTAGAGTTAGGTACAGCATCGTATTGCCCGTTTGAATTGCCTGAACCTTTTCTACCAAAAAAGCCGGTAGCTGCAGCAACACCACCGGCAGCCCCTACGGCGCTACTTTGTGATGCTTCTCTAGATTGTGGTCTTGCTAAACTCAACAGGGATTTCCGCTTAGGATTAGCCCGCGTGATACCGTCATCACCATCGTCTTCGATATCCATTGGGTCTATGGAGCCGAATCCTGCGGGAGGATCCCGTTGACTGTATGTAACATTTGGTAGATATCCATTGTCCGAGAATGAGTAATTGTCTTCGTGGCGGAATGGAGACTGTCCTATAGGTAGACTTCTGTTCGATGTATTGGCGCTTCCCGATATCATCGCAGGTGGGAGCGCGGCTGCCGCTAATGGAACATTCGAAGATGAACCGTAAGTGTCGTCTGTAGGCATTGTGGCGGGGATAGGTCTGCGCTGTACGTTTCTCGGAGGGGAAGGTGCGAATGACGCGTATGGTGGCTCTTCTCGTGGTAACTCTCGTGGTAACTCTCGTTCAGCTGGACCCGATGAATATCCACCAGCAGGTCGTCCCCAGTTATCAATGGCTCTCAAAGCGTTCAGGCCACTCTCTCGTTCGTTCGTATTCGCAACTCCAACCGCGATACCTGCTATACCTCCTCCGGGAGCACCGTCACTTAAGTTATCCGCTCCAGGTGTGGTGTCTGATATGCTTCTGGGCTCAGGTGATGAGTATGCCGTCCCAACTGGGGCACCGTACGATCTTTCCGAGTGATATTGTCCGAATGAACTGTTCGGATGTGCTCCAGGATGATGAAAAGCGCGATGCGTAGGTGGAGGAGGTGGTGAGGATGAGTGGAAGGGTTGGTGTGGTGAAGGCGAGTTGGCTACCGGAGAAACATGCCTTGGATTGTCGCTATACTGAGTATACTCTTGCGATTGATATCGTTGGTCTGGACGATGCGATTGCTCGTCGTGTTCTTCGAAGGAAAATGTACGTTGAGGAATTCCTAAAGACATGGCGATGTCCTTGGCGGTTATAGAGCAGGATTGGGATGTGATGAATGACAGAATGAGGAAAAGCACTAAGATCCACCATTCAACTCATTTAACGTCCTTGGTTTCCGTCCACTCGAAGCCTTGAAACGTTTGCTATGGGGAGTTCGGCAGGTTAAGGGGTACACAAGCAGGGTTGTTGAGACAGTGGTACGAATTGTCTTCGATTATGTACTTAAACAATAACGGATCGCACGCTAATTGATAACGAATGTGATAATTACCGCTAGATTCTCAACGAAGAGACAGCGAGAGGAGGAATATCTTTGAGAGTGGGAGGAGGCTGTGGTGATATTCGAGAGATATGAACGCGATGGTGGTGTCAACTTTGGTGTGGGCAAAGCTGAC